ATTTTTTTTCTTTTTTTTTTTTTTTTATTCTTCTTCTTCTTCTTTCTTTTTTTTTTTTTTTCTTTTTTTTTTCAAAAATAAATATTACATAACAATTATTTGCAACACCATTGAGGTCTATTGCCCCTTCTTCGTGCCCTTTTTTTGCAACCCCCAAACTTAAGATTTTGGTCCATCACTTATTCACACACCTCTCAAAGCTCTTTTGGTGCATACATTTGGTCCAAATTCTCCTAAAGGGTATGATAAAGTGTTTAGGGTATAGGGAGTGACAATTTTTGGTTTGCAAGGAAAATAAGGCAGATAATCTCATAAGGCTCAAGTGGGTGACTAGGGAAGATTCATTATGGGTCAGCTGGAAAGGCTCAAACGTTCAAAAAATGCCTAAATCATTTCCTCAACAAGTCTAATCCTAGAATTTCGCTCAAGCACTTCTCTACTAGGTTCTAGAGTCCACCAACATTATCAAACTTCACCTAACCACATAAAATGTTTCTAAGCATGCCGAAAAAATGAAAATGGTGGTTGAACCACTAACAAAACCTCAATCAAAATTCAGTCAATAACCTAAACTTGAAGTAAGCTTAACATTTTCCAAGAATAATATCCCAACAATTAAGTTTCATCATAGACTTATGAATTCATCATCGGCAAAAACAATCAAAATAAATAATAACTAAAGTTTTTTTTTTTTTTTTTTTTTTTTTTTTTTTTTTCCGTTTAAGGTGTACGTGGCGTGTTATACCAGAGGTTGCCAAGTACTGCTAGGCAGTTTTTAAGGCGGGTTCTGGTTTCCAGCGGTATACCCTTAAACCAAGCTTTATGTCTATTTCCTCCCAAACTTAAAAGACCTTGTCCCCAATGTCACATCATACACATCCAAGGAATAGAAAAACAAAGTAAATGTTATGAGATACTCCCCTGACTAATCCGTAAAGGCCAATTTTTGTGCAACATCCTGGCATCCACTTGGCTTCCTCCTCATCATCATTGTCAAACAAATGAAAGTCAATGGTGCCAAATGTGTTAGATACCTCACCGATTAATATGAAAGAATTACTCTAATCTCAACCTATTAAACTAAACCTAAAATCTAAACAAAAACAAATAAAGGCCAAAAACCAGGAAATCAACATCAATTCCTACTTACAAAAACTAAAGAAATAAAAACAAAAACTAAAAAGAAAAGTGCTTCAGGAAAATTTTCGCAAAATGAAAGATCACGCGACTATTAAAAGGAAACAGACTTCGCCGCGGCGAAGTTCTTCATGATAAAACCCTAAATTCAAAACCAATCGTCGCCGCGGCGACAACAAATTCTTCGCGCGGCGAAAAATACAGGAGCTCAAAATTCTTCAGGGCACTTCGCCCCGGCGAAGTCTGAAGTTTTTCTTTCCTTTTCCTTAGCTTCAAACTTCACCTGAAACACCCAAAACACACAAATTAAAACTAATTCAAAATCATAAGAAAACTAAAACAAATTAAAACAGCAATGAAATGAAAAACAATTGAAAAGACTTGGGTTGCCTCCAAGAAGCGCTTGTTTATAGTCGAAAGCTCGACTTTCCCATGGTCCTTCGTCAATCCGGATCCTTGTGGGGTGCTTCACTTCCCATTGCCACCTCTTGATCTTTCCTTTGGATTTCGGACATTCTCATAAGCATCTTTTCGGAACTTCAAATTTGTATATGCGAACTTTGAGTGAGATGGTGATTGGTTGAGTCCAATGTTTGGAGTCTCTTCCACACCAATTTTGACTTGTGGCCATTTACACCAAATTCCTCAAATTGTTCCTTGTGAGGTGAGTTGTTTGTGTGAAATTCCCTAAGTATTTTGCACACCTTTCCGCTTTGAGATTTTCCTCTTCATGGTCTTGTCTTCAAGTTTTCCAACTTTTCTTCATTGTGAGGTTGCTCCAACACTATACCTCTCCTCAATGGTATGACATTTAATTGTTCTTCAGGATTTGTGACTTTGTGCTCAGCAAAGAACCTTGAGATCTCTCTGTCAGTTGTTCAACCAATTGCCCCATTTGAACCTCCAAATTTTGAATGGACACTCCTTGATTTATGAAGTTTGAGTGTGTCTCATTCATAAAACTTGTGATTTCTTGCATGAACTCTTCGAATATATCTTCCAATTTCGACATTCTTTGCTCACATGGTTGATGATTCACCACTGGTGATGGTTTGGCATTGTCCTTTGATTTGATTGAATGCTTTGATCGCTCCAGGACAAATTTGGGTGATTCCCCAACCAAGATTGTAAGCATCGGAGAAGGAGTCACTTTGCAGCCTTTGTGAACTAACCATTGAATTCACTTGCTCGGTGTTGAAAAGAATAACTGGTTTCCATATTGGCATTCCACACCTCATGGTTTCCTGCACAAAATTCACAAGTTATAAATGGTGAGTGAAAAGAATTTACATCATACCTCCCAATTGGCTTTGACATGTGGAATTTGTGCAGATAATGTGTCGAACGCGTCAACTTCATGTAGACCATTATCTCTTCAGCATTGCTCTATCATTAGGTCTTTGGTAGGTATTGTGGCCATCACCTCAAGCAATTCATAAGCCTCTTTCTGGGGTCTTGTTATTAAGGCTCCGCCTGCTGCCACATCTACATCATTTGAATATTTGGTAGCAACCCATTGTAAAATGTTTTGGACTTGTCTCCAAAACGGTAGACCATTATGTGGACAATTCCTTAACAACTCCGTGTACCTCTCCCAAGCTTCATATAGTGATTCATCGTTGCCTTGCACGAAAGAGGTAATGTCAATTCTCATACTTAAGACTATACAATATTTACAATTAACTACAAAAATGAAATAAAAGCTTCAATTTGCACTACACTAGATACTATCAATATTATAATCAACTATCCCCGGCAACGGCGCCAAAAACTTGATGCGTTGAAACACAACATGCAAAAATAGCAAGTATAATGTCGCAAAAAGTAATAAAGTGAGGTGAGTATCGTTCCCACGAGGATAGTGTTACTAATTACGATTTTTCAGTTTAAGTCCTATTGAAGCAACAATAAATTGGATTGATGGAGATTAACAAACTAAATATAAATGCAAAACCAACAACTTAACTAATTAAACAATTCTAAAACAAATGCTAGGGTGTTGAATTCACCTAAATACGCTAACCCAAATCATAGAATCTATTACCCAAGTTCTAATTCCTTGATTGAAAATCGAATTCCCTAAGTTGTAAAATACATTCTCATGCTACATTTCCCTACTTATCCCTATTAAGCTTCCGCAACCAACAAAATGAAGATTAATAGTTCAAAGGATTTTAAGCTTTGTGAAATTCTATCTAGATTTCATAGATCGCTAAACCTATCTCTAGCGTTTGCTAAACTATGGTATTTATCAAGAGGCACAATCACAAACACTTCTCAGTCATTGTGAACAACACATATTTGAATGGTGACAAGCATCCAAAAAACATTAAGCAAAGAGATAAACACTCAATCATGAAATTAAAAACTCAAAGTAATTCAATCATATAAATTGAATCTTGTATCAAGATACATCAAACCCTAGCTAAACAACTCAGTTCTACTCAAAAACGAAATAAAACAACAAAACAAACTGAATCAAGATTATCATTCAAAAGCAAGCAAAAGATGGAGAAATCTTCTCTAATTTGAAGCCCAAATATTCAATAATCTTCTCCTTCCATGAGCTGCCTCCCAAATCACGAACCAAGCCTCTTTTTTTTCTTTTTCGCTCTAATTTATACCTCTCTCACTTAAGGACGAAGCCCTAGCAAGCCAAAAAGCGTCGTTTTATTTTTGCATTGACGCAGGTTCGCGCGGCGAAGATTTTTCCTTGCCGCGGCGAAAACTTACAGACCCAATTGAGCTGATATAGTTAGAATATGGAAAAGTGTAAAAAATATGAATTGTAGCCTTTCAATTATCTTTCTGGTCGTTCAAGAATCAGCACAATCCGAGGTCTACAGATCAAGTTATGGCAGAAATACTGAAGACGTCCAAAGACGTTTTTCTTCAGTTCCAGCGGCCTTTTCACGACTTCAAGCCAAGTTTTTACCTTTGTCCAGTCAGAATTAGGAAAAACCCAAAACATGAACGTTGTAGCTCTTTTCTTAGCTTTCCAACGCTTCTAAATTCAGGTTATTCCGAGTTTCAAGCTAAGTTACACAATTTACGCTCAAAACTGTCATTTATGCTAAAAATCATCGTTTAGGCCTACAAAGACAAATTAATAGAATTAGGTAGCAATTATGGCCCAAATTGTATGAAAAGTATCCTAAATCCTATCAAAATTCAATGCAAAATCATAGTGTAAAATACGTTTATCACCCCACCCCATATGGGGTGGGACAGGATGGGTCCTCGGAATTCTGGGGAACATTGCCATGCCTATTTGGAGGAGTGTGTATTCAATGTAACATTTATGACCAACCAAAACAAACATGAACTAAATTCAAAGATAGGCACTCCCCGTGTTCCCATTTTCTAATGAGTCTTTATGTTTCTTTTCTTTTGTCAAAATGTTTGGTTTCACTTTCGCTTTCACCAGTTCTATAAAGCGCTCATCGTCTTTCATTCGACTTGACTTGCTTTTTGAAGGAGATCAAGTATTAATAGAATTATAAATTTCATCCTTTTGAAATTCTTTCTTCTTACCCCTTTGGCTGTAAATTAAGTATTCGGGGGAGGAAATTTATATATTATAAAAATGAGAAATCTATCTATTTCCCATTTACCTGCTGTGGACCAAATATGACCCATTGACCCAAAAATAAGAAACCTTTCTTCTTCAGTGGTCTTATATTGACGATTGCATGCGAGAGAGACGCACGTGATTGTCTTTGTAGACTTTCATAAATTTTTAAAATCTTGAATGTTGAAAAGTTAATTACCAGGAAACAACTGCTACAAAATATTATAAGCTCCCATCATTCCATCTATATAAGTAGAACTTGCCCTTGTTGCAATTAATACGCATCTGTTTCACCATCCAATATCTCCTTCAACTTCGAAACTAAAATCCTTTGCTACAAAAAGGTTACTTTGATTGATATATGTAATATAATTATATATATGTATATATATATTTTACTAATGTACATATAATATGGTTTTGTTGTTATTTTAAGTTACGTATTTTTGAATTTTGCAGAGATATATATTCATATGGCTAAGCATTCCAAGGATCTTATTGGAGGGCTGAAGAAACTTCTCAGGTTTATTTTTACACATCTCTGTATGCAATTATTATATATGACCCTTACCAAGCTTGGAAAAGCTAGCAAAGAATACATAAATTATAGCTACACAAAGTAGTACATGTATGTGTTTGGCTTATAATTAACGTTTTACTAGCTAGTTCATCAATCAGAGGGAATAATTAATGGAACTTCAAATTAACTTATGTTTCTTTATATTATGTTGCAGGGAGAAAGACCAGGATGACAGCCAATCTGATCCAGTAGAAAGGATTATAAAGGGGTTCCTTCGTTTCAAGACCTACAAATTTGAGTATGTCATCATCTCCTCGTCTTAACTAGCTTCTTTTAGTATTTCCAAAAGCAATAAAAATACTTTCAAGAGAAAAACCAAAGGTTTTAAACATACTCATTCATTTCTGTTTGCATTTTTTCAGCAAAAACCCGGAATATTTTCAGCAACTTGCCAAAGCCCAACATCCTAAGGTATAGTTTCGATTCTTAATAAATTCTTTGCTTTTCTTTCCAATATTATTACCATTTATATATGACTGAATCGAACGTGTTTGAATTTCTCTCTCCTTTTAACGTTAATTATTAAGATAATGCACTTAATTAATTAATTAATTAATTGTTGTGCAGTTTCTAGTATTTGCGTGCTCAGACTCTCGTGTATGCCCCTCTCATGTCTTAGATTTTCAACCAGGGGAAGCCTTCATGGTCCGCAATATCGCTAACCTGGTTCCTGCATTTAACCAGGTTAATTCTTCAACTGATTTCCTTAATCGATCAGTTTAATAATTAGGGCTATCTTTCTATCTATTATTTACGGTCTTGATTTATTGTCTTTTATACTGCGCAGTCAAGATACTCAGACGTTGGTGCAACCATTGAATATGCTGTTTCCCATCTTGAGGTACATTCATATAAAAAAATTATTTCCCCTTCCTCTATCCAATAAAAAACAGTGTTGATTAATACAAAATTGAACAGGTTCAAAATATATTGGTGATTGGACATAGTCGCTGTGGTGGGATAGACAGGCTTATGACTTATCCAGAGGATGGTTCTGCTCCTTTGTAAGGCTTTAATTTACATGAACACCATTCAAGTTTTCTAGTACATAGTTATTAATTTAACTATATTAATATGACAATGATATCGATATATATGTGTGCAGTGATTTTGTTGACGATTGGATGAGAATTGCATTACCTGCTAAGGCCAAGGTCAAAGCAAAGTATGGCCACCTACCAATTCAAGAACAAAAAGCAATATGTGAAAGGGTAAGAGAAATATATTAATACTAATATATATTTTAAGTTAATGATAAATTAAGCTGTCTGATTAATTAATATGAATTATAACGCAGGAATGTGTAAATTTGTCACTGGTGAACCTGCTAAGTTATCCATATGTTAGAAAGGGTGTGGCGAAGAAAACTATAGCATTGAGAGGAGGATACTACAATTTTGTTACTGGAAGTTTTGAGGTTTGGCAGTTCAACGCAGAGATCACTCCTCCGATCGTCATTTGATCATCAACTTCCCGCCCTCTGTCATTTTATTTGTTTTGGGGGTCATGATGATGCTAATGATCCCTTGTTTTAGTTCAAAGTTTGTTTTGCTTTTGGCTTTTATGAGTGATCATTTGTAGACGATGAATTAGAGCACTTCCTTACAGGCTCTGGTTCTGGTTTGAATTTGATCATCAAATCTTTTGGCTTGCTGTTATAATAAAAGAGATTGGTTTCTTATACTTAGCCTCGATTTTATTTTGTTGGGGGCTGCTGATGGCAACAGCATTGAATCAGAATTGCGTTTCTATAAACCATTTAGTTGATAAACTGATAATAACAATCTATAATTGAGCAAATAGCCATGCACAAATGAGACAATTATAACATTAGAGATCTATAATGAGTGCTTTCAAGTTCATACGAGATCAATTAGCAAGTGGACAACCCGGCTTCCATAATTTTATAACATGGCAGCCAGTCATTCGTGACTCAATGCATTGAAAATGAATTAACAAAATTAAAATGGAGAAGAGGAAGCTTTGAGGCCGATGCGATTGTGGGAGAAGACTAATAAACTGTTTTTGCACGTTGTTGCGGGGACTTCTAACAGAGCTGCAGTGTGGCAACATTTGGTGAACATAACATTAAATTGGATCCATGAAATTAAACCGGAAAAATCTAATAATACCAACATTTATAATAGAGGCTATTAAATTTCTTTGAAGTTTTGGCAATATTTGCACTGTGCTTTTCTGATTTCCAAGTGATCATAACTATGTATTAACTATAAAAATTTGATTGAATTAACGTAAGTATGCATGTGTAACATGTGGCTATTAAATTGGACGGCTCATGCTGCGACATGTCGCCGAGTCGTAATGCCACTAGTACTTTATCCAGTGCGCAATCGATGTTCACTGGTCCCTCAAAGTCCTTTGGTTCGTTTTGCACCACTTGCTTTCCCTTTCTCTGACGCGCTATAGTGCGCGTGGTATAGACTTTCGCCCTTTTTCACGCTTTCACACGACTTGCAGACATTTTTGGCGGTGGCACCGCCTCATTGGATTCAGGTGGTATGACCCGATCCAATTGATCTAGCCTTTAGCTGGCAATTTGGAGAGTATTATTGAACCTCTCCAGGTAACCCATGATGGCTGGGTCAAGCCGCAAGCTTGAAGGAATATCCCCCATGATATTTTGCTGGATTGGCGGCACTTCGGGAGAAGTGTTCTCTTGCACTTGGGGGATTTCTTCATTGTCATATTTGGTTCGCTTAGATTCGAAACGACGAGCCATTTGCTGTGGTGGGACCGATTAGTCAGAGATTTTCTGATGAAAAGTAGATACTAAATTAGGCCCATTCTAGTGCCAAACTGTTGATGTTGGATTTTGACATTAACTACTCACACGTGTATAATGCTAAGCGGACTTAGAAGTCACACGTGATATGGGAATATCGAATTAAATAACGGGGTGAGAAGCAATATTTAAAGTGGTTCGGATGCTCAAAAGTGAATTTTACGTCCACTGTTATTGTATTAATAAAGAAGTAAAATCAGATCGCGTGCAGCGAGCTGAATTACAGTTTAAAGAGAATAAAGAGAGAGAGAGAGCTATTTCAGCATAAAATTAGCCAATCCCCGCAAAGGAGAGGGAAGACCTCTATTTATAGTGGGAGAGTTCAATATAATGATTACTAAATCTGCAAGTGAGTAGGTACTAGAGGTGTGCAAAATTATCCGAAATCTGATCCGATCAGAAAAAATTGAATATCCAAAAATCCGGATCGAATTCAGATAGTAAAAATAGAAAAATCCGAATATCTGGATCGGATACGGATGAAGTGTGAAAAAAAATCAGATATCCGTATCCGATCCGAATTTCATTAGCACTTTAAAGTAAAAACTTAAACCTAAAACAAAAAAGTAAAGTCTTTCCATCTCAATCTCACTCTCTCATCTCTCCATCTCTAATCTCTTAACACCCACCGGCTACCACCCATCACCATCTTTACTTATTGGCTCTCCATCTTTGATTTCTCCCGGTATGGGTTTTTGTTTCTTCTTCTTCACAAGCCATTTAGATTTGGTGGGTATGTTAGATCTTTGCGTCAAAATGGCTAAACAACCTTGTTCATGTTTGTGGAGAATTGTCATTTGTCAACACTGTTTGTTTAGTTTTTTCTTTTTAAAAATGGCTACATGGTCTTCTTTCATGTGGTCTTGGTGTTCAAAAATAGTTATTGAGTTTATTATTATTTTTTTTGTTTGTATCTTTTTGCTGCTCATGCATTTGTTTTTGGTTAATTTTTGTGTCAAATCTGGTAATAACATAAAGTTTGTGTTTTTTACATGTTTTAGAACTGTGTTTTGAGTGTTTCAGATGTTTTGAAAATGAGAGGGCAGTTTGATTTGTTATTTTTTATATTTAATTGTTTCTTTGCTTCTATATGTTCACCAATTTCTCTGTATTTGGCAGTTTGATTTTTATTTTTTATATTTGTAATAAGCATTTTTTGTAAAATTCGGATTAATTTCGGATATCCAATTATCTGATCCGAAAAATCGGATATCCAAAAAACCGGATATCCATGTAATTCAGATCAGATTCAAATCAGGATATAACCTGATTTGAAAATCCGGATTGGATCAGAAATAAGCCCAACTGGATCAAATATCTGGCTTTGCATAGCCCTTGTAGGTACCATGCAAATCCTTTTTTGTGTCCCATTGGTTACCTGCCTGAGGGATTGCCTCGACTTAAGCAGGGTTTTGACATGTGGGCGATCTCTAGCCGCTTACAAGCCTGGCACTCACCAACTACGTTGAAAGAGGTCATGCCACTTGCGCCATTTCGCGACATGGCTACACTTGGGCGGCTCAAAACCTTCCTGAGTTCTGACTAGATCTTGCTGATGAGACTCCATGTCAGCCCTACCTTTTCAGGCATAACATTTATACTTAGCCTCGATTTTATTTTGTTGGGGGCTAATGGCAACATCATTGAATCAGAATTGCATTTCTATAAACCATTTAGTTGATAAACTGATAATAACAATCTATAATTGAGTAAATAGCCATGCACAAATGAGATAATTATAACATAAGATATCTATAATGAGTGATTTCAAGTTCATACGAGATCAATTATCAAGTGGACAACCTGGCTTCCATAATTTTATAACATGGCAACCATGATAAGGATAAGGACCACAATATTCAAATTGAACAGATTATGGCTTGACGTTGAAAACGTTGAGGATGTTGCGGCTTGACGTTGAAGACGTTATGGTGCATCTTGGCATAATTCTCTGTTTATATTTTAAATCCCTTGTAACCAACACAGAGATATTTCTCTTATCTCTTGTAACAACTTTGATTATATATGCATGAGACTACACTCGTCTCTGGTAAGTAAAACCAGAGTTATTCCAATTCTTTCATGGTATCAGAGCCTTTTATAGCTAACGCTCTTGTCGATCCTATGGCTGCTACTGCAGATTCTTCTTCCTCTTCCATTGCATTTCACCTTCTTTCTCAGGTTATCTCTATCAAACTTGATGGAACCAACTTTCTTGCTTAGAGTGCTAAGTTACTTCCCCTGTTTCGAAGCTATGGTCTCATGGGATGTAACATCCACTTCAAGTTACATCTTTGATTCATGTTCATTTGCCTTTCACATGTTGTTTGTTGGCCCTAAGTTTATCTTTGTTGTTGGGTTGCCCTTGGTTAAGTTTGTAAGTTGTTAGAATTTGGTGAAGTCTTGGCGGATTTTGGGAAATGCAGACTTCGCCGTGGCGAAGAATAATTGTCGCCGCGACGACGTAGGCTCTGTATTTTTTCATCGGGGCGAAGATCTGGCTGTTTTTCTTTGTGAAGGTTCTAGAGAATTTTTTATAGGGGTGAAGTGACCATTCTACCCCTAATTAACAGGAAAAGTGGGGAATGAAATGTAAGAAAATTTCATGGAGAATATTTTGGAATAGGGGTGAATTTGTAAAGAATTAAAGGATAAGGATGGAATTTGCAAGTAAGTGTAAGTGCAAAATGGAAAGAAGGCTTAGTTATATGAGATATTAAGGGTTCAAGCACACAAACCCTCTCATTTGCTTTATCCCACATGCCACCTCTACCCCAATTCTCTCATCTTTCCATCAATTTTCCAAGGTTGATTTGAGGGCTTTTGGTTGGATTTCTATAAGGATTTGATCCTAAGTATCAAGAGGTAAGGATTCTTGTTCTATATGAGGTTAATTTAAGTTAGTATGGAATTCTTATGAAGTTTATGCTTAGGATTTGAGAGAAGAAGCAAGTCCAACAAAGATAAAGAGCTTCTAATGGAGGAACTCAAGCAAAGATAAGTGAATCCAACCTAAGTTAAGATTTAAGCAACTAAATGATTTGATATGCTTGTTTATGCTTATGAGCTTGAAATTGATTGTTGAGAATGTTGATGTTGATGAGTAGATGACTTTTCATAAGTAGAAATTGAGCCATGAAAAGTAGAGTTGAGATTGTGGTGACCAAGTGAAGTTTGGTTGCATGTAGAAAGAAATTGAGTACAATATTTGAAGTGTTTTTTTTGGCCATGTTTAGATTTATTGTGGATGTGGCTCCATGAATGGATGGTTTAAGAAAGAAGTAGAGATTTACCAAAGATAGAATTAAAGTATGCATGCATGATGTTTGATGAAATGCCTAAGAGAAGCTTGTGTATAAGTAGAGAAACTTATTTTTGTGCAACATAGCATAATTGCACTTAAGAAAGAAATATAAGCATGAGCCATTCACATGCATATAATGCATATGCATAAGAACTTAAACAAAGAATAAAAAATGTACAATAACAAAAGAAAGAAAGAAAAGCACTAAAGAATTAAAGAAAGAGAAGTGCTAAAGAAGAGAAAAGAATAGGTTGTTGCGATGGAGAACCCGTGGGTGCTAAGAAGAATTTCCCACATACACGTTGCCTTAAGTGAGCAGCATAAGAAGAAGAAGAATTTGTACGACCCGTAAGAGTGTATGTGGATGAGGGTTGTACCGAGAAGAATTCCTACATACACGCCACCTTAATTGAGAGGCCTAAGAAAAAAAAAAAGAATTTGTACGGTCCGCAAGAGTGCATGTAAATGAGGACTGTACTCACTCACATGACCAAGGTTCTGAATCCATGCATCAACCGAGTCCAATCGACAAAGAAAAGAA